CGACCTGCCGGGCTCCGGCGATCCTTCCGCCTCAGCCTTCCGAGTAGCCAGAATTACAGGCATGCGCTACCACGCCCGGCTAATTTTTTTGAATTTATTGTAGAGATGAGGTCTCGCCTGCCCTGGCGGGTCTCGAACCCGCGGGCTCAGGCAATCCACTCACCTCAGCCCAGTCTTTTATTTTTTGAGTTGGAGTCTTGCTCCGTCGCCCAGACTAGAGTACAGTGGCTGCTCCCGGCCACTGTAGCCTCGACCTGCTGGGCTCCAGCGATCCTTCCTTCTCAGCCTTCCGAGTAGTCGGAACTACAGGCGCGCGCTACCACGCCCGGCTAATTTTTTTGATTTTATTGTAGAGATGAGGTCTCGCCAAGTTGCCCAAGCGAGTCTCGAACCCGTGGGCTCATGTAATTCACTCATCTCAGCCTCCCAAAGGTGCGGGATTACAGGCTGAGCCGCTGAGCCCGGCTCGGCCAGTCTTTGTGTCCAGAGTGACCCCCTGGGAATGGCCATACATCTTCCATGTATCCCACACTGAGAAGGGAACCTGCCAGTGTGGGCGCCTTCATTGTGACCACTGGTGGCTGAGAATGATATGAGGCCTGGCCCCTGCCTGCAGCAAGGAGGCTCCTTTCCTGGTTCCGGGCCTCAACTTTGCCGTCTGCAAAATGGGGTTTTGGTCCCTTGGGGACACAGAGAACTTGAGAAGATGCTGCCGAGGAAGGTGCTGGTGAAAGCAAGGGGGAGGCACGTGCCCGCAGGCCTTCCGGGAGCCCCCACACTCGAGGGGCAGGGACCCTTTCTCCGGGCAGGTTGCAGCGCCCTGAGGCCCGAGGTACCCACCCCTGGGCCCCGCGTGCACCAGGGACCTGAGCCAGTAGTTACAAAGCAGGGAGGTCATGTTGATTGAACGCGTCACAGGGGAGACGTGCCACCCGCTGGGGGCTGGTGGCTCCACGGGGACCGGGGACTCAGGCCCCAGTGGGCGGGCGGAAGCACCAGGGGTGGCAGTGCACACGCGGGTGGGGCGGTGGTGACGCTCGGAGGAGGGGCTCCTCCCAGCCCGGCTACTCCTTCCAGGACCTGAGGGGGTGGTGTGGCCCGACTGGACGTCCTCTAGGGACAGACGTCGCTTTGCTGGACAGTAAAGTCCTGTGTGATGCAGTCACTAGCTGGTGCAAGGGCAGAGCTGGGCCCCAGCCTGGCCAGACAGTCTTCCTGGTCCTCGGCGGGGCCGTCTCTCCCGGCCCTTCTCTCGGCTCTGGGGCGGTGGCGGCCTGACCTCATCTGAGGCCAGAGGCTCCCTCCAGGGACACCTACTCCGAGGTCGGGGGTAGAGCAGAGTCCTTGCCCTCCGTGGCTGGCTGTCCTGCCTCCCCATCACAGTGCCAAGGCCCAGGCCACGGTCCATAGAACACTTGGTGGAAATAGCGGCAGCAGCAGCAGCAGTGTGGTGGCAGCCACCAGCAGGCCCGAGGCCACTGGGAGAGGGGAGGCCAGGGAGGTGCAGGAGCAGACCTCATAGCCATCCCCTGAGCGGCTCTGCTCGTGCTGTCCTGGCGGGGCCCCGTCTGCGCCCGCGGCCTCAGAGCTGTCATCTGGCGGGTCCCCACACACCAGCCAGTCCCGGGCTGTGGACTGCGGGTACCCAGGCGCCGCCTCCAGCTCGCCATCCAGCACCTTCCAGTACTCCCGGCCACGGAAGAAGTAGGAAGCACCTGCGGGGAGGAGGACGCGCTGAGCTCCGGGCCGGCCCAGCCCACGGCCAGCAAAGGGACTTGGGCAGACAGCAACAGACCGACACAGCAAAGCACAGCAGGGCCTGTGGGGACATGAAGCAGGTGGCCTTGGGAGAGGCACCCACATGGCTGGGGACACTTGGTAGGAGGTTACCAGAGATGGGGGATGGACTGGGAGACCTCTTAGCATTTCTCTTCCTCACTGGAGAGATAGATATATATGTATATATATATAACTATACTTTTTGGAGTTGGAGTTTCACTCTGTCGCCGAGGCTGAGTGCTGGGAAACGCTCAAGGCCACCACAGCCTCAAGCTGCTGGGCTCAGACCTTCCTTCCGCTTCAGCCTTCCAAGTAGCTGGAACTACAGGCACATGCTACCACAGCCGGCTTATTTTTTGATTGATTGATCGAATTTTTTGGGTTGGAGTCTCACTCTGTCACCCAGGCTGGAGTGCAGTGGCATGCTCATGGCCACTGCAGCCTCGACCTGTTGGGCTCAGATGATTCTTCTGCCTCAGCCTTCCAAGTAGCTGGAACTAAATCAATCACTTTTTTTGACTTATTGTAGATGAGGTCTTGCCAAGCTGACCAGACTGGTCTTGAATCCAGGCAATCCTCTCACCTCAGCCTCCCAAAGTGCTGGGATTATAGGCATGAGCCACCATGCCCAGCCTTTTAAAATTTATTGTAGAAACGAGGTCTCACCAAGTTGCTCAGGCTGGTCTCGAACCCCTGAGCACAGGTAATCCTCTCATCTTGGCCTCCTAAATTGCTGGGATTACAGGCTTGGGCCACTGCGCTTGGCCATATATATATTTTTTGAGTTGGAGTCTCACCCTGTTGCCCAGACTGGAATGTAGTAGCATGCTCACGGCCACTGCAGCCTTGACTTACTGGGCTCTGGCTATCCTTCCACCTCAGCCTTCCAAGTAGCCGGGACTACAGGCGCATGCTACCACACCTGGCTAATTTTTGATTTATTGTAGAGATGAGGTCTCACCAAGTTG